AAGCCTGTGCTATTCAGAGGTGAGCTGGCACTTGGAGAAGCAGACCTAAGGTCAGCCCTGTAGACCTACGGAGAAACTTCTCAAGTTCCTGGAAACTTTCATCTGCTGATGTATTCCAGCACAGAGGTGCATGCAGAGATCCCTCTGGGCTCCTGTGCAGCATGGGAAACCTTTGTCCCACACATCTTGTAAATGCAGCAGGGGGCCACTATTGTGCCACGCATCTTCTGAGCACTGAGGAGGAGGCTTTTGTCCAGCGCAGTGGGCAGGCACCATAGGAGGGCACCTTTGTCCTGCACAGCCACTGATCACTCTGCAAGAGTGAATTATAGGGATTGTAGAGCTCCTTCTCTCCATGGACTCAGGCAGAGGAGTTGATTGGCCTTGCTGAGCAAAGAGATGCTTTTACAGAGTGGGAGTGGAAAGCAGAGGCAGCAAAAACATGTTTGCACATATGTGTGCAAATGGCCACCAGGGTTGTTTGCCCAGTCATGTTGTACAGCCATTCCTGCAAAGACAGATCCCAGTTTCAGTCTTTGCTTTTGCCCTCCTTTATTTTCACTACCATGTGAGCTGCTCTTTTTCTTCTTATTATTTCTCCATCCCTTCTTATGTTTTTATCATCTCCCATTCAATGTATCATTTGCTGGTTAATCTAATTAACTAACAAGTGCTCTCATTATTATTTCAGATCACTAATAACCATGTTTTAAAGACGAGAGCACTAATACCATTACCTCTGGGACTGTGCAGGTGTATTTTCAACTCCATATCATTACCTATTACTTGTCTTCTCAAAGACTCTGGCCACTTCCCAGCAAGCGCACCACTGCCATTTTCCAACACAGTTTGAGGTATCATAACTTGTCTCACTGATGCAGAGTTGTGCCATTCTTCAGCTGAAATGTGATGTTTAGGGTGGTAAGGCACTTGAAACAGATTGTCCAAAGAAGTGGTAAATTCTCTATCCCTGGCAGTGTTCGAGGCCAGGTTGGACAGAGCCTTGAGCAGCCTGGTTGTTGGAAGGTGTCCCTGCCTGTAGCTGAGGAGATTGAAACTGGATGAGCTTTTAAGGTCCTTTCCAACCCAAACCATTCTATGATGCAGTTCTCAACTTGCAGCAGTGATTGCAGAGGTGAGATTCCCAAACTGCCATCCAGCAAGGAAGAGTGCAGAGATGAGGTGAGCTGATTGGATCCAGCCTGCTGAGATGGGTGCGCTGCAGGTGCTAGTGGATGTGCAGCAGTTAACTAGAGCCTGCAGAGGCATAGCTCCCTGTAGCTGGGAGCTGCCTTATCATGTATCTCAAATACTATGAGGTCTTCTCAGCTGGAGTGAAGTAACTCATCTCTAAATGAGACGTAGGGGCAACCACCGGCCATTGAAGCGGTGAAGACCTTGTCAGATCCAGCTCTGTTCTAAGGTTCCTGTTGCCCTAAAGGTGCTTGTGATGGTTTTTAATGTTGATCTCCTACTTTGCTGATATTTAAAGATAGATTTTACTTGCAGTAGTTTCAGTTAACTCTCCTTTTCTCAAATTAGCATTGTTTTTCTTCCCACCTCAGTTCTCTGGTGCCTACCTGATTGTGCATGAATTCTCAGAAATAATTGCCAGTAGTTCTTCAAGTTCATTAACTGATTCCCTAGAGACTCTTAGGTGTGTGTCACCAGACCTGATGAAATTTTTGCAGGTATTTCCATGCCTGGTTTTTCTTGTGTCAATAACTGTATGGCAAGTCTTCATTACTTCTAATGGTCAATATCTCTTTGTGGTGGTGTGTAAAATGATTCTGAAACTTGTTCACTCATCTCACTTCACGAATTACTGGATCAGCCTTCTCTCTGGAGCTCCTTTCCAATGATGTTCTATACATGTTGAAATAGGCATTCAGTTCTCCCTACCTCTTTACAATAGCAAGATGCTGCTTTTGTGGCATTTCTCGGGGACTGGGAACAGGGAGGTTGATAATTTCTTTCTCTTGCAACTGTAGCCGTAGCATATTTTAGGATGTTCTGGCTGTCTCTCACACTTAACAGTTTTTATATGTATTTTCAGTGCAGCATTCTCCTAAGATTTCTCAAATAATTAATGTCTGAAATCACTTTAAATTGTGCAACAACCCATCACTTATTACAGTATATTGAATTGTGTGGTTTATTATCATGGCTGTGGAAATTAGTGAGCGCTAAGGACATATATATATACCTTAGAGGACCTTGGCTTCAGTACAGCTGCTTCTTATTATCCAACTCCCACAAACAATTCTTTCTATAAAAAAAAGAATGCAGGCTGCTCTTGCATTCAGTTTAGATAGCCTACTACTAAATACACAGTTGAGATTGCAGTCATCAGTGATATTTTTCCTCTGGCAAAACCCTTATGGGCAAATTTGTTATCACACTTAGGACATAACTCCTCTTGCTTCTGTCTGATTTTCTGAGCCTCTGATACATAAATCATAAATGCACAGTCTGTGCAGTGTTAAAAATTTAGGCCTCCCCCTGCAGTAGTGGTTGAATGTGAGTACAGAAGAACAAAATTTGACCTTTAAATGATTATAAAGGGCCAAGGCAGATACTTGGCAAGCTTTTCTTACGGCAATATTACTCAAGCAAAGAATCATCATAATCCTGGAAACTAAATAGCCGTTGTAGTGATTTTATCACCAGGGAAATTGTTCATCTGACAGTAAGATTGTTACTAGGAAAAAGAAAATAGTGTAAAAATTGCTTTAGATTGCTGAATCACTGAGTCCCTCTAGACTCAAAGCTTGAATTGTTTTTTGAGAGGGGTGGGCTGAGAGGGTTTGCTACAGGAAAGCTGTAACTTAATCAGTTCCAGTAACACCAGTTAATGTAAGCCTGATCTCTCTTGAGGACATGAGGAGGTTTCATGGGAGAAGGCAGGATAAGAAAGGAACTGAGAGGCTTCAGAAACTTAGTGTTTTGTCATTTTTTTGCTTCTCAGTGGCCGTTTCAGAGCAGGAAGGTTGCTGATAAAAAGAAGAAAAAAGAAAGAGGGGGTAGAAAAACCCAGCATAATATTCCCTGCCTATATTTTTGTCTAATTTAAACTCGTGGGTGTACCATCAAGACAGAGGAGACAGATGCAGGCAGGCAGAGTGACAAATGCCTCTTGGGGCTCAAACTGATGTTACCATGTGCTGTGACACAGGTGTGTGAGATCTGCCTGTGTAGGAGCGTCCTTGGAATGTGCTAGGACAGCCTGTCCCTCCATAAAACCAGCTTTGATAGATGACGTCTTTACTGGTGTCATTGCATGGTGGCAGTGGGCAATCGCAGGGTACCCAGCCATGCAATTTGGCCAGGGGTTGTGCTGGAAGGGAAGTTTTATCTTTCTGCTGTGGTACACACAGCCACCATGCAGTGGTGGCACATCTCTGTGTACTGGATAACCCCAAGCTGGAGAACATGCATTGTGAATATGGCTGTGGGGTGGCTCTCATAGGGGTGGGGTAGGTGGTCTTCCTTGAAAGCCAGAACTGTAGAGCCATTGAATTTTTTAGGTTGGAAAAACCTCAAAGATCATCGAGTCCAGCCATAACCTCACTCTGCCAAGTCCACCAACCACTTGGTAGGACCAACTGCCTCCCAGCAAGTAGGGCTTGCACAGAGATGGGTAAATTCAGAAGTGGAAAGTACTTCTGTAAAAGTTGCCTCTTGGAAATCTGTGTAAGATGTCATGAATCATCTCCATACAACGGTCATGGAGGCAGGGGAGGGGGGGAATCTGTGTGTGCGAGCATGACATGGATAAACCGTCTCTTTGGGTGGGCAGTGGTGTCTTTCAGTAGAGGGCTTTTTTTGGAGGAGCTTATCCGATGGCTGCCTTTGAGTAGGGCAGGGGGTTGACATGATGGGTAACACCTCCCTCAAAGACCTTCCAGAGGAGACAGCATGCGTGGAGCCACCAAGGGTGGGTACATGGGGGTGAGGGTCTCGTTGGAGTGTGAAGGGGTGTGTGTGGGCAGTGCTGTGTTGAAGCATCCATCCAGAGCTGCTCTCCTGCACCTCTGGGGACTGTCAGCTGCCCCACAAATCCCAAACACCATCAATCAGCTGCCCCACACTGCATCCCTCTCCACCAGGCAGGCCATGGCCATCGTGTCCTTCACTGTTGTCACCCCTAGATTGTAATACTGTCACAAAACTGTTGCTAAGCAACAAATGTGGTTACCAGGTCTCAGCGAATAGCTAAAGGGGGAAAGTGAAGTGTTGCACCATTGTAGAGTAACCATAGCAATGACCTAGTATTACAGACGAAAGAATTATCATTAACAATGCTAAAATATCAAATGGAAGCCCAGGATCCAGAAACTTACAGGCAGCATCTCCACATAATTGGGTTACCCAGAAAGAGATCCCAGCTCTTTTACAGCCTTTGGCTGCCCACCTCCTTCATCTTAGCTCTGTTTTGGGGGTTGTTGTGGGGATTTTTGTTTAAATAAAGCAAATGAGCCATGTGTTGAAGGAGGCACTTGTAAAACAATAGAACAGAAAAAAAAACCAAACCCAAAAAAGAGGTGAATCTTTATGGAAAGGGAAGAGGTAAGTGGGAAAAGTCTACTTTAGTGCCTCAATATCCCCTATGGGATGTTGGGAAAAGGCGCAGGAAGGATGCCTACGTGACACATTGATTGTTGTTCAGGCCAGATGTTCTCTTTTGCTTAAAAACACATATGTCAGGCTAAAAGCCATGTAAAATTAGAAGAAATAATAAAAGTACACGAGCCCTGAGAAGTAGACACTTTTTTTCCTAAGCTGCACCACTCAAATGAGGTGTTTCAACAAAGTTTTGCTTAGCAGGGTGCTTTGGAGTCTCACTTGCCTGGGCCCAAGACATGTTCAGTGTCTCAGATCTGCAGCCTCAGTGGCTACACATCCCTGTGTGTCTGTATGTACATGGTCATTCCTGTTCCCAGGCAGCAGCACAGCGACACCCCCACCCCCAGTCAAACTGACACCTTTGTATTTTGCAGGTACAGAGCGCCATGAACTAACTTCCTGGAAGAGTTTTCCATCTATTTTCAAGTTCTTCAGCGAGGCAATGGATGCAAAGAACAGCTCAGTGAAACCAGCCCCAACGCGGCGCTCCAACAGGATAAAATACGAAGAATTGTAAAAGGAGTAGAGTAAAAAAAGAAGCAAACACCACCAACAACAACCTCTTCAATGCTTCTTCTCTGCAAGGAGCCTCTCAGCCCTTCATTAGATTGTTTTCTTCCTAGAGCACAGGGTTGTGATGTGTACATCTAAATAGCGTTTTGCATTATTTCTAGATGAGTGCAGCTGTCAAAGCAATATGGGTTCACTGGTTGTGCTTCCTGTGGGCTGTAACTTGGATTTTGTGCTGCCCATCAGCGTGCAGATTAAGTCTGACAGAGGTACTGCACAGTGCAGCATGATGCAGCTCTAATTGCCCTGACATAGCCTTGCACCAAGCTGATGCCAGAATTTAACAGCTTTGTTGCGGTCCTGTCGCTTGCAGGATTTTTTTGCTGCTTCCTTCAATTTCAGGACAGAACTAAATAAGAATTAAGATGACGCTAGCTCAGAAGTGCTAACCAGCCTGTGATTTTACACCCAGTAGCCTTGTCTTTCTCTGGGACCAAGTGGGATCAACTCTTGACTCTTTCATTTTCTGCTGGTAGGAGGGTCCAAGAGGTTTGGTTGAGATTTATAAGAAAGCCCCTTTGTTGTAGAGATTTTCTCTTCCTGCCAGATCAGTGACAGTATCTGTAGATCATCCGTTCCTTCTGAAAGCTCTACTTATACAAAATAAATAAATAAATAAATAAATCTCTGTTCATTAACTGGCTAGATTACACTGTGAATCTGTGTATTTACAGAAAAATAAAAAAAAAGACGCATATTGCGCATCTTCCTGTTTCAATTTAAAGTCAAAGATGCTTCCATTTCCACATGCAGGGCTGGTAGTGACTTGCCACACGAGATGGCAAGGTGCTTCTTTTCCCTAAGCACAAGGGTTCGCTCCCACTTTCCCAGGCGCTGGAGGAGGGACACTGCTCTGCGTGGGGACTCCACGCCAAGTGTGGGGCATGGGGGAAGTGCAGCTGAAGCCACCACCATCATTGTCGGAAGCTTTTCTTCTCAGAAACTAAGCAATAATAAGTGCCTGATAGCATGCCCAGCAAGCGAGCATGCTAATTAAGCTCCTTGAGTGTTGATGATGCTAAATTAAAGTGATCTTTTCCCCAATGGCCGTGCCCATCTCGCCTCTGACGCTTTTAGTGCCAAGGAGGCAACACTTGAACACGTGACTTTGGGAACCCCATGCCACAGCATCCCATCCCTCTCATGGAATGATTCCTATCCTACAGCTGGGATACGGCAGGGGAGTGGGGAAGTGTTGAAACGGGGTGATGCCAAAGTGGGGGTGATGCCTCTGTCACAGGGCAAAGTCAGTGGTGTCAATGTTGGGGATGCAAATTGAAACCTGGACGAATTTGGGATTAAATCTTCCTGCTGAGGGGCCTTTCTGCACCCTTGTCTGCTCATAGCAGGGTTCCCCCCGCCGGCACCATTTAACCTCTCCCCTTCCAAGTGACCCCCCCGGGAGGCGCTCAGGCTCTGCCTACGCGGAAGGGGTCGGTGCAAATTCCACGCCCAGGAGTTTTTGCTCCCGGAGGGGAACCTGTTGCTGGGGGGGGGGTCCTGCAACAAGGAGGAGAGAGGGGGGTCTCCAAACGTCGCGGGAAAGGATTTATTTTTTCAAGTGCAGATGAGAAACGAAATGTACAAAAAAAAGAAAAAAAAAAACAAAACGAACATTTGTACTGTTAACGACCAGCCGTTTCTTGCGCCTTTTTCTGTACCGTGCCCCCGGCCCACCCAGCGTTACCGCTTCTGTCGGGCGGTAAAGCGAGACGGAGGAGTGGGTAGAGCTATCTTCACCACTGGTATTGGTGCGCTTTCACTGAATGGAAAAAATATGTGCTTTTCTCTCCTCCTTGTGTCCTTTGCGACCTCCGTAGGGCTGCGCAGGCCTCCCCCAACCCCGCACCCCCCACCCTCTCCAAGGAGAGCACGCAAGGGGTGGGAGTCGGGGACTGTTTGCAAATGGGGACCCTGCCTCGCCAAACACAGCCAGATGTCGGGGAGGGTCGATGGGGCGAAGGGATGTGTGTCCAGCACCCCCCCCACTCCGTCTTCCTAAGCAACCGTAAGCTTCCCAGCCTCTCCTTTCCACGGGAAGGTGCTCCCGCCAGCGCGCCCCGACGGCTTTCTTCCCTTTAGCTAATCCTAAACAACTTAAAAATAAGACCCTGGGACACAGGTTTGAGCTGTTCGTCGTGGAGAAGGACGGGTTTTTTGGGGGGGGAGGATAGGACACGACACTGGGGAGATGGCATCTCCGTGCCCCTCCCCGGAGGGTTCGCGGGCTGCAGAAAGGGGGGACAGCAGTAAGTGTCGCCCCTGGGAGCTGGAAGAGAGGAAGGTGTGAGAGCATCCCAGTGCCTGCCGTGGAAAGTGGATGATGGCAGCCCTAAACCGCGCTTACAAGGGATGAATCTGGATTCAAGCGATCCCTTGGGGTAGGCCTTTCTTAAAGTTGCGCTCCGCTGGTCCCTCAGTCCGTGACGTCTTCAGCAGAGACAGGTCTGACATCAGCCTTCTCCCGATTTCATCACGCGGAAACTCCTTGGCATCATCATGCAACAGCCTGTGCCCTGGGTAACTTTGGAGCTGGGCACTCCAAAAGTGACACACTCGCACACACAAAGGAAAAAAAAAGGCACCAAAACCTAGCAAAACTGACAATAGGATAGACTCTTCAGGAGCATCCCCCAGTTCCTCATGCCCCAAAGACTTATGGCCCGCCTGCCCAAAAGTTTTGCATATGGTTGTACGAGCCGAAATGCCATGGTTGGAGCCATCAGAGGATCCCCAAACACATCAGGGCTGGAGGGTGAGGGGGGACGGACAGACACGACATGCGAATTCTAATAGGAAAGAAAAAGGCAAAAAAGTCCCTCATCTGCATTGTGCACACATGGTCATACGCTGGTACAGTACTGGTGGTCCTAATTCTCCTTTGCACAGGTCAAAAGATGATGCTGCTTTTGCTGGGAATGAGCATATTTCTGTGTCCCAGAGACACACCGCTAATTGTTTGGAGGCTTTTGGCCTGGGTTGTTTGGGTTTGATTTCTTTGGGGTTGGGTTGGTTTGTTGTTGGTTGTTTTTCTCCCTCAAGGAATTTCATTCAGAATACAAAGTGCCACATCTAAAACCGCTTGGAGCCGCATATTGAACCGTTTTGGAGTCAGCCATACCCAAAAAACCTGCCAAGAATGTGTACATCCACCGTGCACCCGGGTAGAGCTGCATCATACAGAGCTGAGGGATGCATGTGTGTGGATATCTGTACCTCTGATGAACGTGTAGCATGTGTGTGAGTGTGTGTGTGCCCACGTTACGTTGACGCACTAGACAAAGTGTGAAAAATGTACTTCTCGAGAAACTTGGAAGGAGATGTCATTTATCATTGTATAGTCACAATGCCACAAATATTCACTTTTCTGTTCCATTTCGGATTGCATGCGTTTGTGAGTATTTCACTAGATCAGTGACAGCTCTTTATTTGCATAATTATATGCTCTGGTCTGAAGAGAAAACTAACCCCCAAATTTCATGGGTCACCAAACTGCGACAATCAATGTTTTATCACATATGCTAAGCAAAACCTAAGGAGCTATATGAAGCTTCTTGGGGAGTTTTTGCTCCTCAGAAAATTAAAGATGTTGTGCCTCTTGAATAGATGCAAAATCTTTCCAAGCTCTTTGTAGCTGAATTCCGTTTGAAGGCAAAACTAGAGATTAGCTGGTAGATCTGGATTTCAGACCCACTAGCATTCTTACTTCAAAGTGGATTCAGACAAGCAGCTTTACTGCATCTCTAAATTTCGCCGTCCCGAGTGCTGTCATTTAAATGACGGGGAAAAAAAAAAAAAAAAAAGTAGCCAAATGTGAGAAATGCAGAGGAACCCCATGTCTTCAAGCCCGCGGTGACCACTGGGTTTAATTTCACTCTTAGCAGTTGTATTCTTTCAGTTAGGCGCTGCCCCCTCTTCCTGCCTCCAATATCGATATTGGGCTTAAATACGAACAAAACCAATTCCCGAGCTGCAGAATTTGTTCTAATCCATCAGCTGCACAATAACCGCACGCTCCAGTTATGACACACACACCCCAAGTTTCCCTCTCTGTCAAAATGCCTTGTTATGAGGAGGAAGGGACCTGGTGGTGGGAACTGGCCTCCGGTGAAGATCCCCCTCCTCCTCCATCTGCAGCCGTGCTGCTGGTAATGCTTAGCTTTTGCTTGGAGCCCATTTAAAAGTGAAATAAAATAATAAAAGTATTGACGCAGACTGCGGGAGGACCTCTCGGACGTGTAGATGACCTGCAAATCCGCTGGGGATAAGTTTAATTTCGACGAGGAAAAAAAAAAGCACCAGAAATTCTCCGGTCTCCAAGCCGTGACCTTACTGGGGGAAGCCCCCACGGTTTGCAGCCTTCCGCTTAGGTTTCTCTAAGCTCTTGAGAAGGATAAACTTTTGAAAAGGGGTTTATTTGGAGTTACGTAGACTGCAGTAATCCCCTGACCCGGTGGCGGCGGGGGGAGCAGCGCCGTAGAAGGACCGCACAGCCCTGTGGGTCGTGAAGCGGGAGAGGGGCTGTCGGTTTCGGGGGGGAGGGAGTTGTCTTTTTCCCTTTCATTATCCTCATCCCGAATAGCCCTTCCCGAGGCAACTGCTTTTCCAGCACAGATTGGAGCCAGCGAAGTTTGGGGGAGTTACGCGGGGACATTTTGACTCCCGGGCAATTCCCAGGCAGGCGCCAGCCTCGCACCGCCTCCTCGCTTCGCAGGAGCAAGGGGGAAACATGAGCGGGAAGTAAAAATAGTGCTGAGAGACAAGAGTCTCTTCTCTACTGTCCTCTGGCTGCCGAGCGGGCTTCGGGAATGCCGGCGGGACCCGGAGAGGGGACCCCACTCCCGGGCATTCCCTCCCTGGAGGCAGCTTGAATTCCATGCACACCCCCCGCCTCAAATACCTCCCCTGCTCCCGGCACCCCTCAAACAGGGTCAAGCAAATAGGGATATTTCCGAGGAGACGGGGAAGA